GACCGAATGGGTCTCTCCGCGTGGGCGACCGTGAGGAGATCGAGGAAAGGAAGCTGCGAAATGAGCCCATGAACTGTTGCTGTCAGTCATTTCTTTTGTTCATTCTTTTCATTCGGTTCATTCAGTAACAAGTGCCTTACTAGTAGTAACAAGAAGCTATTACTATGTTTTCTTTCTTTCGTTCTTTAGTTCTTTTGTTTTGAAGGTTGAAGATCGCAAGAGATCAGAAAGCCAAGTAATTGGGTGGGATTTCTGTTAGAGCGTTGAGAGAGCAAGCAAAGCGGGGGGTTGAGGCATTGAGAAGAACATCGTTTAACTGGATTGAGAAAACATGAGAAAACAAGGAAGCAAATGTAGGAAACTTACGTTTCAAAGCTCCTGTGATATGAGTATAGTTCTAGCCTCACCGAGAAGTTTTTTGGACTTTGCCACTATTCCGAACACACGAACCTCCATCGCTTCATGAGAACCGGAACCGTTTCCTACCACCAGACTTGGATCTGAACCCGCCAAAAGAGCAAACAACACATGTTTTGTTCATCATATAAGCAAATCATCCAACAAATCAATGATGATGGACTGACCAATCACAACAACAAACCTCCATGCACAACATGCACACACAAACTAAAACCAGAATATCTGCTCCGTATACCATCCCCCCTCGTCTACTCACGCACTCACGCGCGCGCGAAAAGATGCGCGACACCGGGCACCGCTCAGCCCTCTCTTCAGGAGTACCATGATCCGAAGCCCTCAGCTGTCAGGGCATGATCTCAGACCTCCCAGAGGTTAACTCTTGTTTCTAGTAGCTTCTTGTTACTAGTAGTAAGGCACTTGTTACTACTAGTAAGGCACTTGTTACTAGTAGCGATGCACTTGTTCCTAGAGTTGAGCAAATCAACACGAAAGATTGACTTGGGAAGTTCCTTGCGGGTTGTGTAGGACCCTGAAGATTTGAGATAGATGCGCTGCCTGTTTTGAGGGAAAATGAAACCCTGCGGAATTAACGCAGTTCCCTTCAGATCTGTCCATTCTGCATCCGCAGCAGGTTGCTTACTAGGTAAACTGCTGAGTCTCACCAAAAGCATCCTAGGCCATCGCTATTAGGTTGGAGGCCATCGCTATTGGGTGGGCCCTATTGACGGGCCTACTGTCAACATGGCCATCCAAACACACCACGTGGATGACTAGCTGACGAGCAGCTGCACCCACCACTGGGAAGCGCTGAATGCACATGCCTGCATGCCTGGTGTAACCTCGCTAGGCTTCAGAATTTTGGAAACGATTCAAAGAAAGGCCATGGACGACGGGTACATACGGGTACACTCACCCTTTGTGCCCGGCTGTATTTTTCAGTATCTTCACAGGGAGACCTCTGCCTTCGAGAGTAACATGCCGTCAAGATATGTCAAAGCAAACCTACAGTCGTGTGCGATGATGGTGTCATTTATCGCATCCAAAGCAACACTATGCGCGACATCTTCGACCAAAACCATTCGACGGCCGGGCCATGGTCTGGCCCTCTCGGAGACCTGCACCATCCGGAACATCACTGGCCGTCTCAACTGCCAAGAGGCGGAAAGTTTCTATGTACAAAGCACGTGATCTTCATCTTCGAGATCTCTAATCATCTACACCTGGCCAAAGCCAGCGGGCCGTGGCGGGACGATCTTTGAGATCATGTTTCCAGTTAATGTTTTGAAGAACTCCAGGTATCTTTAGTTTTGCAAGACTTGTTATTCAGCAGCATACCAGTAGAAATACAAACCAACTTAGGGGCAACTGCCATCTGCTCGAAGTCTGTGCTTTGTAGTCGTGCGGCACGGAGGCATTTCCGCTCTGTGAGAAAAAGTAAAAAAGCAACCGAATCAAATTCAGTGCTTGTGCTACTACTGTGGCCCCGAAGTCGAATCACAATAAACGTTCTCCTCCAACAAGGAAGGTTTGACCAAATTATATCCGACTCTTGAGGCATTGTTTACCTGAAACTGGTGCTGCCACCCTCTTACTAGATGCTGCACTGATGGAGAGGATGCACTTGCTGCACTTTAAGGTGCCATGATGTGCCATGGGAGGAATTGACATGAATACCGACCTCAGAGCTATTGATACATTTGCTGAAGAAAAGAGAATCCGAGATGTCCGGTGATGTCTCAAGTCTTAGCATGTCCGAGTCTTAATCGGACAATCGATTCAAGATCGCAAAAGCGGGAAGGGTCAAAAGGGTGGTTCTTCTTGCTCCACATCACGCCGTGTCAAGCTTCGGAACGTCAAATGCATGCTGATTGCCCCTCACCATAAAGAGAACACCCTTCGCAAGGCGCACGACCAATGAACAGTGAGGTCCGTGCACAGGGAGTGCGCCGTGCGCCCAACAACCGTGTTTCCCGAGCGCCTGCAATGGTCAGGGCCAGGCCCGGGAAAAGGCTGAATGGCCCGTCGAAGGGTCCATGTCCACCCTGTGAGCAGCTTGAAAGCGTTGCGCCGCGTGGTGGGTCGAGATGCTTCGGTGCGAGCGGCATGCCTGAAAATGATGGGGATTTTGTTGTGCAATGATGAGGAAGAGAATCAAAAGAGATGTCGGGAATCAATCCGATTCATCTTAAAAGGATTTGATGAATCTGCATGACACCTGCAACTGGCTGCGCTATGCTGCGCAGCATCGGGTTGCCACGCGCTCGCGGCGCGCTCGGCCGCGCCTTGGCTCGCACGCTGGAACGACCGGTCCACTTGGCTCCAACGGCTCGGTCCACCTGGCGCGAGGGACTCGTGGACGAGCCGGTGGGTCGGTGGTGGACGTCGTCGCACCCAAAAACGAATGGTTGTCCGACTAGAAATGAACAAAATCCATGATATTCCCGTCATTAACATAATAGCTTTTTTATCATATTACATTACTTTAATATACTTTAATCACTTGCAGCTGAGCAAAGGCATGCGCAGTGCACATCTTCAGAATTCACGTGCGGCTTTGACATGAAAAACATCTGCGTGTTCAGGAATTCTCCGCAGCGTTCCGCTGTGAATCGATCTACTTTCTGCCTTCACAGCCGTGACCCTCTGGATGCCTTGGCCCCCCCGAGCTGAACGTGAAGTCTCTGGGATCACGAAACGGTTTACGGTGTCCTTCTGATCGTCTCACCCTTCATTTCGGAAGTGTTCATCAAAGGGTTTGCAAATTCTCACATTCAATACACATCAACTGTGTCAGGGGTCACCTCTGGCTACTTTCTCTAGCGAGCTGGCCAAGTGGAAACAGCTTTGCTGGTACATACCCAAACATAAGGGACATCATGTATACACTAACTGTGTCTCAAGCCGTATCTATACGATGCATCTAATATTAGCTGCCACTTCGATCAAAAAGAAACACAACAAGTCTCAACTCTGGTCAACTCAGTCAACTCATCTCAATATGAGAGGAAATGATCTGCACATATCTGCACTGCATGGGACCGCCACGTCCAAAGACATGCAGAGCAGCACGTCACGACTCGCTACCGTCGACTCGTCGTCCGGATCACTCTCACCCGTCTGCGTCCTGCGAGCTCGGACCGATGGGACCGTGAAGTCAGCTGTGGGTAGAGGACCAGCTGTGACCCCAAAGCTCTATACTGGGGATGTCAATGGATCTTGATGGCACTCTGGCTCACCACCATGGAGGATACCTTCCTATCAGGGAGTCTGCTCCTTTTTGACTTTGTGCCAATTGATCTGAAGTGTTTGTTCTGGACATTTGTCACTTGTCTTAGGAGATCTCCCCATTTACTCAGAGATGGTTGATCCTCATTGTGATCAGGTAGTAGTCATAAATGGTCAAAGTTCTTTTGTTTCCCCTAGTGCTGTTGGGGTTGGGTGGGTTGAGTACTCCCACATCGGGCCGCCAAGTGGCCCCTCGTATGATCGGTTTGTGTGGAAGCTTCCAGAGATCGCAAGTCAAGCGAAAGGAATGTAGAACGGGGACCCTCAAACACTGTCAAACAACAAAAAAAGAATCGCATAATTGAACAGAACAACTTTATATATGAACTAAATCAAACAGTGCGGACTTAGGAGGGTGATGGTGAGATTACAGCTGTTTTGACCAACACCTTGGCTCTTTTCTGCTGATCAGAGCAACTAACATGGATCTACAAGCATCGAACTCATTCATCTGGACACGTTCTTCGGTCACTTTTCACCTCCAAGCGATAGGCCCTGCCCGACCTGGATACGATGCTTCTCCGATAGGCCCTTTAAAGGCCAACAAGTATCCTCAATGAGGATGACGCAGAACTAGTGAACAGGTGTCTCTATAGACAATAGAATATCTAGCTTCTAGCTACTGATAGCGATGCACTTGTTACTAGCAACTATATAGTAGTAATGCCCTTTGCTACTAGTAGCTTCTTGTTACTAGTAGTAAGGCACTTGTTACTACTAGTAATGCCCTTTGCTACTAGTAGCTTCT